AAAAAAAACACCATGATATAAATATTACTTTATCAAAACTACAACTTCTACTCTTCAAAAAGAAAAGCTGTAAATTTGGAGAAAACATTTATAAAACATATCTGATAAAGAATGCATATACAGAATATGTAGGACTTGCAAACCAGTTTTTAAAATACTGAGAAAGATTTGAAGACCCCAATGTTGTGTGTGAAAAATCCCATTCCTGAGTGGTAGGGCCCATTGATCCATTTAAACAAGAGAGGAACAGGATTCTGAAGGTTTCTTAGTCTGCATCCAAGCTGAGATCAAAGGAGAGTTCAGAAGGATTAATTGCAGCCAGTAGTGATGGCTGAACAGAGAGAAGTCCCATTTCTGCCATCTCAGCTCTGATCCTTGGCTAGTGTCTAGTAGACAGCCTGGGTCACCTATTAGAGTGATCTGGATGCAGAACTAGCAGTAATTAAATCCTGTGTCTGTTTCCTGGCTGAGATGGAGGAAATAAAGAATATATTCTCCTTGGTCATTAAGAGAAAGGGAGAAAGATACTAACTTTTGAAAAGGTACAATTACTGGTCTTACATTACCATACGGTAGATAATGAATATCAGGAAGGAGGTCCTGGAGGACTGACTCTTCAATGTATGGAGTGTATTCCACTGGTAGTATGTGTGTAAACATACTCATATTAAATCACACTCAACCATGGCAGGAGAAAGTTACTCACTTATCAACCCCAGTAATATAAGAAAGTTTTAGGCTGGTGGTAGTATATATTTAGCATCTCTTAGACACCTCAGTTTGGGAAGTATTGAATGAAGTTTGCTCAAGTGAGAAAGCATAGTGAGAAAGCAGTGACATCTATGAACTCAGGAGGCAGAGGCCTGACCTGGGTTTCCTATGGCCTGGGGGCCTGCTTCAGCTGGTGAAACCATGGGGCTAGGCTCTTCCTGGCTTGTGCCAGAACCACTGCTATCAGGGGATCCAGGGTCTTCGCCGAACTTCTGGAAGCAGGCTCGGCAGCAGCGTTCCTTCTTGCCACTGGGCTTAGTCACAGCATAGTTGTTACAGCAGTAGTAACAGAAGATTCGGCCACATATCCTGGGAATGAAACAAGCACAAGCTGTGAGGATGGTGCACAAAGGATTGTGCATCATTGAGATCTGCTAAGCACCACAACAGGTCTCTGTGTTAGGCTCCTGATGGCCCACAACTCTCCAGACCTAGCTCTGCCCTCAATGTAGAGTGTGCTGTAAGCCCATTTCATAAGATTCCAACAAAACCATCATGATGAGCTTAGTAGAGAATGGTTTACTCCCATAGGTCCTCGAAGCAGGGAGAAAAGGTCTGATAACATCAGGCTACAGGTATGCATTCCACATTTACTGTTGGGAGTGGTAAGTCTCTAAGAGAGCACTTACCTGTTCCCAACTACCAATCTGCCCTTTCTCTTTACCTATCTTTCCTATGTGCTGATAGCATCTGTGTTCCCTGGCACCATCTGCATTTCCACATAGGCTTAAGAATAGCTAAGGGTTGCTGGTCTTTGAGTATATCATATGCCTGTGAGTTCTCTTAATCCCATCCACATTTCCTTTCAGGGGCCCTTGAGTGTCCTGCTAGGAAGCAAAGTGCTTTTCCTAGATTGATAGTTATGGTACCCACACTTATCTCAGATCCCTCACCAGAGCCATCTGTCCTGATCTGGTGAGTTGTCTGTTGCTAACCTGCAGTGGTGCCGCCGCACTATCCAGCTGAACTCCCGCTTGCAGTCATGGCAGTGGTTGGCCTCCATGTCCCCAAGACATTTCTCTTCAGCACTAAGCTTTTGCTGGAATTCCAGTGCATCAGACTTTTGCCAGAGTGCATCTTTGTCCCTGCAATAATACATTTTAAGAATCCATGAGAAGCAGAGAATGACCCCTGCTTCATTTTAGAAAGCTGATATCAAATGTTCCAGGCCGTAGAAGCTAAATCACTTTCCTTGTAAATGACCCTTCCCCAAACACAGGAATCCAAAACACAGGCTCTCTGCTGACATCTCCAAAGGAGCCCCCAAACATTGGTTCTTTGACCCCATGTATGTGAGAGCATGTAAGAGGCACATGATATATACAAAAGGCTGTGTCATCCACAAGGAACTGCCAGCACTGATATATCATTCAGGTATCTAACACCAAAAACAAATTACTACTGGTAGTAGTATGCTATCAAGTTGATAATGGGCATACTATGAGTGTGCATGCAATAACAATTTGCCTGCATGTATGTCTGTGTACCATGTGTGTGTAGTGTCTGTGAAGTGTGAAGAGGGTATCTGATCCCCTAGGATTGTAAAGATAGTTGTGAGCTGCCTTGTGGATGCTGAAAATTGAACCCGGGTCCTCTGGAAGTGGGTAAGGGTTAGGAACATAGAGATGGCTGGCTTTTTTCACAGATACCTAAATTGTAAGAAGACAGGCTGACTCATCTTGTGGACCAGCTTGTTCTTCCAGCTAGTCCACAGCATCTGACCTCTATGTCCCTAGGAAGCCAGATACTCACACCCTCGAATGTGAGAATGCTACTTGGTTTCTCTACCACATTCCTCAAGAAAATATCTGGAATTCTAATGAGTGAGTAGGTCTAGGCATGGTATACTCATGACTGCTACCACCACAAGCAGAAGTGAGTGAGATCTTATCTGCCTTGAGTTTTATCAAGTGTCTCTTGACACATTCATTTTTCAAGGTATAGTTGTGTAAGAGCTCTTGTCTTGGAAGTTGGGTGTGGTAGTATACATTTTTAATCCCAGAACTCTGGAGGCAGAGAGACAGGTAGATTTCTGTGAGTTTGAGGCCAGACTTATCTACATAGGGAGTCTCGGGCTAGCCAACGCTACATAGTAAGACCCTGTCTTAACATAAAACACAGCAAAACAAAGCAAAAAGATTCCTTGTCTTTTTTGATATGGAGTGTTCATAGATAAAGTAATATGTCTGGGTTTTGCTTCAAAGCAATCTAGAGGTGGGAAAACAAGAGTGGTCATGGGTTGATTCCTGTTGAGGCTGAATGATGCAGAATTGTTATAACTTGAGCTTGAAATATGTGTTTGATCTCTTTGCCCCCCCCCACCCCAAAGCTTGTGGTGCTATTTGAGGAGGCCATGGAACTTTTGGGATGGAAGGCATGGCTGGTGGAGTGGGTTATTAGCAGTCTCTACTTTCTCATCTGCTAAGACATGGACTGAACCAATCCCACTGTTATGCCTTGCCTGCCAAGACTGACTGAAACTGTCTGGACTCCGAGCCAAAATAAATCTTTCCTCTCTTAAGTTGATTTTGTCAATGTTTTGTCACAGGAAGGAAGGAAGGAAGGAAG